TCCTCGTCCCACGCCGGGAGATGTCCACTGTCCTTGTCCCACCCCGCGGGAGCCTCGCCGTTGCATTCCCACGCCGCGGGATGTTCGCCCTCGTCTCCCAGAGCAGCGGGAAGTTCACTGTCATCTCCCGGCACTGAGGGAAGTTCACCATCGTCCCCCAGAGCAGCGGGAAGCTCACTGCTGTCTCCCTCCTCTTTGGCCTCCTCTTTGGAAGCAGAGGGAGCCACAGGAGCTGCTGCTGCTGCTTTTGTGCCCTGTGGACAGACGGCAGCGTGAGGGACGGGAAGTTCTATCTCAGTTATCACCTTATTTATCCTCAGCTGCACATCCAGCTGCACTCAGCAGAAATTGGGTTTGCAGCTGTTCAAACTAACACTGGGCTAATGTCGACATGGCCACTTATTGTTGGGAATTGGATATTCCAGCATGGCTAAAGCCAGCAAGCAATCCTCTGCCTGCAAAAGCAGACCTGCAGCTCTTCAAAAGCTCTTCAGCTGAAAAGGAGAAAACTGCCAGGGATCCCTTTGCTGCTGCTGCTGCTGCTGCAAAGACACTGACAGGAACTTTCCTTCAGCCTCCCAGGCTGGCACTCAGCTGCCACATGCCGAGCTCACAACTTGCTGCACAATTCCAAACACCAGAGGTTCCTTTCCCACTCACCCAAGGAGGAGCTGCTCGGGATCCAGACATGAGGTGCCCTGCAACGGGAGAGGGAACGTGAACCAGATGCTGTTAGGAGAAAAACTGCCTGTGGTGGGAAATGCCATGGAGCAAGGCAACCCCGAGAGCATTTTGCTTTCACAGCATCCCTGCAGGAGCCACAGTCCCTTCCCACAGCAAGCAAGAGATCAGCACAAAATACTGGGCTGGGTCAGTTCTTGGCTGGAGCAGCAAAGGGAGGCAGTTCCAGGCTCTGCTGGCACAGAGTCCCCGCTTGAGGGAACAGAACCCCCCGGGCTCATTGCAAATGCTGTGCACGCCCCGCTGGCTGCAGACACCCCCTTTTTCAGCTGCAGCTGCTGGCAGGAGCTCTCCCAAACAATGGTGTCTTCATGGCCATTTGGTTCCAAAGTCAGCCCAGCTCCAGAGGGAGAACAGAAAGCACACAGCAAGGCCAAAGGCACAGGTGCTGCAGCCAGGGAAAACCTGGACTTACGTGCCAAGTGGGTTAAAAAATACCCCGAATAAGCCACAGAGTAGAGGGTGCAAACTGCAGCAAGCACGTGCTGGATCATTCTGGCTGCGCTGCACACGTCTGCAGCCTGCAGCCCTGCAAGCACAGAAGGACACCCGTCAGGCTGGGCTGGCTGCTGAGAATGCCTCGGGCAGGAGGATCCTCCGGCAAGGAGCCCAGAGCCACTCTGGACACCGAGGCCTCCGTGTCCCACAGCAACGGGAACAGCACGGGCACGGGGCAGTGTTCCTGTGACAGCACAGCAGCAGCTCACGCAGAAACCGCCTGCAAGGTTCTCCTGTGTCACAGAGGAGCACAAAGAACCCTCCCGGGGCACAGCCGATTGCCCAAAGGATCCAAGGGGAACTCGGGAAATGCAGCAAACAAGGACACCCCATAGCCCAGCCTGAACACTGAGGAGGAGCAAGGACGGCACCAAACCAAAGGAAACGTGACCTTTAGTCACTGATACTTCTGACTAAAAGCAGCAAGCCTTGTTCCACCTGGGATCTTTGTTCTAGTTCTAAAAACAAGCAAGGTTCTCCACTCCAAATACACAGAAGGCAGGAACTGGGGAGGAGGAGGGATTGGGAAGGAGGAGGAGGAGGGAGGGAGGAAAAGGAGGAGCAGGAAGAGGAGGAGCAGGAGCAGGAAAAGAAGGAGAAACAGGAGGCTCCAGTGCCCCCTGTGGCCGCAGCCACGGGACCATCGCCCCCACCTCATCCTGCAGCTGCGTGGGGAGGGGGAGCTCGTCCCAAATCTATCGGGGGGTCCCTGAGAGGGTTTTTTTATTGAGGAGGTTTCTGGGGCTCACAGATTGTGGAATTGATCCCCAAATATCATCTGGCATCCCTGGGAGGTTTTTTTCCCTCTGTGTGTGTAGGTTTGGATCTTGCAGGACCCCAGAGCTGAGCCCCTTGGGGGATCTTTGGGGGTCCACGTGGCCATTGCCCAGTGTGGGCAGGGGAGGACATTGGTCCTGGGGACCCCGGGAGAGCAGAGGAGGGGAACCCCTGGGACCCCCAGAGTGGGGAGAGCAGAGAGGGGCGATCCCAGAGCTGGGGGACCCCTGAACCGTTAAAACCGAAAATCACGGAAAAAGAAAATTCCCTACCTAGTTCAAGTTGGAAAGTTGTGTGTTTATTACACCAGCAGGCGGCACGGGGCTTGTCCCCAAAATGCGTGACCGCTCCGCACAGGGTTCTTTGCCTTCTGTTTATTTCCCAAAATAATACACATGCATAACCCCAGCACCTCCCATCCTCGCTTTGTATTAAATTGAAGCTATTAGTCCTTCACACGTGTGCAACTCTTCTCTTGAATTGGGTTGGTGGTCTCGAATTGGATCAGTGATCCCAGGGATGAAGTCAGGAAGGTCTTTGTCAGGTGTCTGTGACCCTCTGGCATGATCCAAGGCCCTCTGCTTCATGATGGATTAACACAGAGTCCAGGTGCTGGGCATTGTTCTACTGGTTTCAGTATGTTCCTATAATGCTTCACTTGCTCCACTTCTTTCTACCAATGAGGTCATAATATAATAATTAGCTTTAGCTTAAGCATCTAATAATCATTAAGCTATCGTTGTTGTATCTAACTTCAATATGAATTGGTTCTAACCGTCAGCTAAAGTCTTTACCCTTTAAAATCATGATTCAATAGGCCTTAGCAAAGCATAAGATGTGAAAAAGGCTTTTGTGTAACTAAAAACAGACCCCCCTGTACCCCTATTCCTGGGCAGGGAAACCCCCCCCGAACCTCCATTCCCGGGCATCAGAATCCGCTGAGCTCCCATTCCTGATCACGGGCACCCCCTGAGCGCCCATTTCTGGGCACTGGGACCCCCCTGTACCCCCTTCCCCACCACTGGGACCCCCCGAACCCCCATTTCTGGACAAGGAAACTTCCCTGAACCCCCATTCCTGGATAGGG